GGATTAGATTTTTGAGTGAATCCTTATGGATCCTCCACTACGGCCATCAACAGGCCTATTGTGGCTCACTCTTACTTACATTTCACCTAATAAGTTCAGTCTCTTAATGAAACTGATAATTTTATTGGGTGAGAGTGTGTCGATATCTTCTGTTAGCAGTTGTCGTTTGCCAAAAATTAAGAATCGGATCATTTCCACAGCGGGACAGGTGCATAAGACGTGACGTTGGGCGTTGCCCAGATAGGCCTGCTAGAGTTTTCAGGTTTACTCTTTTTAACTTACTAAAAGTTTCTTAGCTCTTGATTTCAAAGTGTATTTTACAAACGCCTTCGACTGAACTAATCCTGCTAACTCTTGTCAGTAGTGGAGAGTGCCATTACCTCTCAGACCAGAGTGGCCAGATATCCAGATCAGAGTCACTTTATTGCTTTTGCTCAAATGACTTAAAACCTATTGACAATTCCATACCGTTTTAGAGTTACATCGGTAGGAGCCAAGAGCGGTTAGAATTGCTTGGCTCTCTGAGAAAAATTCCAGTCTTCGCATACACAGTTCAGTGGTATGAACTGCAGCCTGAAATGTAGTTGCATTAATACCTAAGCTTGAGGATATCCTCACCTTTGGATTGTAGCTATGTATTCCGGCTCCTCTTCCTCGGGTATTTTGGAGCCGCCTATAAACCAGCAACTGTTTGCCTTTAGTAGGTCGGCTTTATTCCGATTCCACTCACCTCTTTCCGGAAAACTAATATGGAAGCTCTGCTCGTTGATCATGGTAGGCATAGTATCAGAGGGCATTTCCAGGATGCTGTGACTTTCTGTGTCATCCAGCAGTCTGTTCTACTCCATGATACTAGTCTGCGGGATATTGATGGCCGCTTGTTGGAGTCTATACGTTGCCCACCTGGCCTCTGTCAGCAAATATATATGGGTAAATCTAGGAAGATTTCAATTGCAGCTGACGGTGTGGTGCTAATTGCTCCATTATGGTCAAGTATTCTAATCTCTACAAAGAAGATAGTTTGGCTTTGGCCATCCTTTATGTTCCTTTCGACCACCAAATTTGATCCGTATGTTATCATTGGTCTGATGACCATCACATAGATCCAATATATTGGTTGGATAGTGGACACCCATGCCCCAAGATTTACCACAAATTCGACAACATGTCCATAAGGATACTTTTGTTTTCCAATTAACACAACAATAAAATGGGAGGAGATGGTTAATACATTCGTATTGGATAAGTGTGCAATTTCAAATTTGCTGAAAGGGGGTCATACGGCACCACCAGGTCTCATGGTTATAGGTGCAATTTGTTACAAACATCAGTCTCAGTCTCGGTTTACTTTCATTCCTGGTACACTAAATGCCCGTTATTACATTATAATCGTGCTGCAACCTGTATTGTTAGCTTTTATGGAAACTAGAATTTTTCAATACGACTTTATACAGCAAACATTAGTAGAAACGGAATTACAAAATTCATTTCAACTCACCAGATCTCCCTATCGCCCATAGAGTATATATATGAGATATGATGGAGTCAAGATTATGTTTAACATCTTGGCCAAGGGAAAAACTTAGAAGAATTCCACCACCATATATGTACTCTGGGATATGATCTCTCAAACAGATATGATTATATGATTTTGATATTCCTGAACAAATCAATAAATGTGTAATGAGTAATTGACATATGTAATATAAACCATTACTAAAATTTTTTTATTAATGTTTGTACTTTTTAATTCAAAAGCTAATCATTTGAAACCAACATGCAAACAAAGTTTCAAAGGCATAGCTTTATTACTTACAATTTCTTAAATTGGATGTGTATATTAATGAGGCATTTAAACAAATTTTGTGTGTTAAAAATACAGTATTTGTAAATTATTTATAAGATGAAAGTTGATCTGATCACTGATCATTCAGAGAAATCTTATTGGATTTTTTATTTAAAGTGGTCGAAAATAGAACAGGATACTTTGAAATTTTGGATTTTGAAGAAGAGATGTAGCTTCTGTGTGTGAACCAATTTAAATGTTTTTTTTTCAGATTTTGAAAACCCATTTGATTCACGTTTTACATATTTTAATTTTTTCCAATTACTTTTCAGAAAAAAATTACAGGGTGACATATGAAACTGCGAAAATTCGACCTAAAATCATTGAACCCCGTTTGTGCTAAAAATTGTTTTCTTCACTTCTGATACTATGAAGGCCGATGCATTTTCTTGTGATCATAATACAATTTTTTTAATTGGAGATCTGAAATTTGATATATCAATTTTTTTTCGGACAAACGCATTTTTGGTGCTTCCGTCAATTTCAGACATTTGTAGAATTTGGATGCCTAAACCGATTTCAACTTTCTTTGCAGATTTTGAAAGCCTATTATATTAGTTTTTGAACTATGAAATTAGATTTTCGAAAAAAATAAAAAAAACTAAAACAAAGTTTATAATATCAACAAATTCAAATTCAATTTATTTTGTTTAGGGACTATTACAAATTTTATAAAAATAGTCAGTAGTGATAACTACAAAAGATAAAAACTAACAACTTAATCGATGTAAAAATTGCGTACAAAGAAAAAAACATTTATCTACTAAAAAAATATAATTTTTTGTCTCTAAAAAAAATATAATTGTTGCAAACTACAATAATAAAACAAATGTCAATATTTTGTGAGACCAGACAATTGAATTCATATCGAGAGAGAGAGCTGGCTAACTCATTTGTTCAATAGTGTGTTTCCTCAAAACTTCGTTGACGACTTTAGCACGATGGTATCATCGTGTTTTCATCGACTAATACAAAGCCTTCACCGATATTTTAATCATAAAGAACCACAATGTTTCTTACACACCTCTACCTGCACCGGTTAACACTCATACTTTCACCTGCCAATACTACTAACCTAGTTTTACCATTAAATATGATTCTATCCCACGCAGTCACACTTTCACCTCTAAACACTACCCTCGCTATCATATTTTCTTCCAAAACCCTTTCAGCTCTGTACCAAAATCCTTTCATTTAATCTGTATAAATTGCACCCACTTTCATCCGTAAACAAGCATCCACTCCACTCTGCTGTTCTCAAGTTAGAGTGAAGGTCTGCCCACTCTTTTCTTGCAATTTTATGTTACTTTTTCAATGAACAACCGTATACCCGCCTTTTGGCACGTAAATTATTCTCATGCAGTTTGTTCAGTAACATGTACGCCAGTAGCAGCCTCAAAGAATCTGTCAGTTGCCTTGCACTTATGTTACGTCTCCTTCTAGCTGTCGAAAAAAATTTGCCCTCTCTAGCAGTAGTATTCCTCACTCGTTCATGACAATAATTAAAATTTGCAATGTTTTCAAGACGACTGCCTTTTGGATGGAGTTCTTAGACCTCTCCAAGAAATTAGCAATTTCTCTAATAAGGAAATATCCCTATCTTAATATTCCCACATACACCAATTGTTAAAATACCCTTTGAAATCAAGAGCTAAGAAACTTTTAGAGTTAAACAGGGTAAACCTGAAAACTCTAACAGGCCTATATACCGAGCACTGCCGACTAAACTATCATCTGCATAAACTCGGCCTAGCGGAAAACGCCGAGTGCCGTCTATGCCTGGAGGATGATGAGAAGGCAGACCACATCTTATGCACCTGTCCCGCTGTGGAGAGGATCCGATTCTCAATATTTGGCAAAAGGCAACTGCTGCCAGAGGATCTGGACACATTTTCACCCAATAAAGTTATCAGTTTCATTAAGAGACTGAACTTATTGGGTGAAATATAATTAGGCGTGAGCCACAATAGGCCTGCTGATGGCCGCAATGGAGGGTCTACTGAGACCCACTCACAACAAACCTAACCTAACCTAACCTACACCAATTGTTCAAATTGGTCTAATTTGCACAATTTTATATAGGTATCACCATTAAATTCTTTTCTCAAAACCGATTGGAAAAACTTGCATATATTGAACGCCTATGAAACTGGTTTTCAAAATCTACAAAGTTCAAATCGGTTTACACAGCCAAAGGCTACAATTGTTCAAATTTCAACAAAAGTTCAATTTTCACCACTTTATTTTATTTTCTTTATAAATGATCAATCCACAAGAAGCCAAGTAACTTGAAAAAAATTATAAAATTTTATAACCAAAATATTTAAAAAAACCTTGTAAGAAATAATAGAAGTATAATATTCTTATTATGTACAAAACGTACACTACGGAATATTCTCTAAGAAATTGTATGTCACAAATAATGTCCTCCTTCCTCTGTAATGCCTTCTTCGTGTAAAATCAGTAAAAGTCTTAAATACCATTTCCTCGGAAATGGCACGAATTTCCTCTTAAATGCGTCCCTTTAAATCTCTGCTTTTTAGGTAGACCAATAAAAAATCAAGCACGTCAGGTCGACGAATGAGACCTTGGGTGGCAATAACTGAATTGCTTTACGTAAATTGATAAATGGAAACAACGCGCTATTGAATAATCCAATTACTAATTATCATGTTGTTAAGAATACTCAAGTATCAAGGTCGATTTGTCAATGCTTAGTTAGCTCTAACTAGAAAATGATATCCAAAGAAATTATAATTATTATTATAACAGTTGTTTCCTTGGATATCATCTTATTTTAATTTTTTTTTTATATTTGTATCAAAAATTATTGTAATATGTTACATTTTCTTTTGAGAAAAACATATTTTAGATGTTTATGAAAATTTACACAGAAAATCAGTACAGTCGTTTAAAAAAATTATAGAAATCACTTTGACATATCAACTTACTATTATGCCGTAATTTATCTTGGCCCCAAATAAAAAAGGCAAGAAAAAGGTTTAACAACAAGTAATATAAATTAAAATGTTCAAAATGTGCTCCATTTACATACCGGCAACGTAACTACCTAACAAACTTCCTTTGAACGCTAACAATGTCATCAGGGTTTCTCTAACATTCTTCCAACCGAATTATCTCTTTTAAATTGTGTGGCTTCATGGTCGAGTGGTAGGATGCTTGCCTCTCACCCTGGAGTCCTGGATTCAATTCCCGGTCGAAGAGCTAGGATTTTTTCTAAGCCAGAAATTAATCCAATACTCGGATATTGTGTGTGTGTCCATTGTCTAAATGTGTAGCCCTCTCCCACATAAGGTACCTTCAGGGACACAGAGGGTTGTATTAACTATAGTGTGGTGGTTAAAATCTTGTAAATTGGCACAACTATTTAGGAAAACTTTGATTTTTAAATAGCTCCATAGGAAATATTTCTACGGGGTTAGATCCAGCAATCTAGCCGGTCATTCGATATACTAGTTCTTGTTGAAAAATAATATCGTTATGAGGCATGTCCGGATCTTCATTTGGAAACAGCAGTTAACTCCTACTGAAAAAATGGTACCAGTCAGAGTGTTTTCAAAAAAGTATGGACCCGCAAATATGTCACCTACAATACCAAACCATTAGTGAGTGGAACGTTAAGGCCCTAGTGACCTTTCTTCACTGCGACCTAAAAAGATCATTTGTGATAACCCTTATATCGATGTGTGCCCAGCAAATTTTAGGCTTCTTCAGAAGCCTACAATTTTCCTGGGGGCTATGGTTCCCATTTCGACAAGTGTGGATACCAGCTCCAAATGTCGTAGTATTTGGCGGATTAGGACTTTGCAGCAACAAAGTATATATTTCACGGTTTCCGCTTAATCTGTACAGAAGCGACATATGTCGCTCTCAGCTTTTTTTTTTGAGATGGTATCTCAGTGGGCAATGACCTGTGAGAAGACCTGTTTGTATCCTTAATTCTAGTTTGCTAAGTTCGAGTAGCTCTCTAGCTCTTTTTTTGCGCTTAGTTTATGAACTTCTTCGCCTGTCTTTGACTGGAGTCAACTTCCAGTAGGAGGATTTATGCTCCTTTTACCATTTTTTGACCTCGTCTGTTGTGTGGCTTTTAAATATTCCATGAAACGGTCCTGGCCCCATAAATGATCTTTCATGGTCTCTCGCAAGGCTATCAGTAATTTCGTTACCTTCTATTCCTTTATGCCCTGATACCCACATCAAAGTAACTTTGTTGTTTCTTACCATTTGCTTTTCTGTTGTAGATATTCTCAGACTATGTTAGACTTACAAGTAATGAGATTTAAAGCTTTAAGTGTTGCCTGACAGCCTAAGAGAATATAGGTTCTTGTTCCTCACGTGCCCTTTTAATGTGTTCTCTACCGCAGATTTCTTCTGGCGTGAATTTGCGCATGAAAGAGGGTGGGAATTTAGTCTGTGGCTATATCTGGATCTATATTCTCCTACCCCTACTCCTTCCTCCATCTCTGGAGGATCCAGAGCCCCATATTTGACGATTAGTTATTACAACCTCAAATAACGTCTCAAATTTGAATCTCACTGACATTGTGTCGGTAGGTTTGGTCATTGAGTCTAACTGAAATTTATTCAGAATACCTAGATATTCAACGATTTGAATTTCTTTGACTGTAGTCTTTGAGCGATGAAGTCTCCTTCCTTCTTTACATGCAGATCAAGCAAGGTTTCCATTGTTGCTGTTGGACAGGTTCTCATTGCTCCTGTGTTTCCCAGGCACGCTAACTATTAACAACTTGTTTTGTGCTGTTTTATCTTTTACCATACCATAAATTCATCTTTTGGAGATCTTGTGTGTACATTTCCATAATCTATTGTGGATTCTGCTGTGCCAAGTATCTATAATTTTGACAATGCCATTTAAACAGATAGTCGGTTCGTCATGTTTCTGTTGTACATCTATAATAATTCCTAGCATAACTGAATCTGGTGATCAAAATGATCCGCATTTAATTCACGTACAGGATGAATATTGAAGGGATGATATTTTTCCTTTGAATAATTTTCGCCAAAGTAGATTTTGTCATATCAAAATTTCTTGACAATTCTCTAACTGTAGAATGAGTGTTGTCTTGACAACAGCATATTTACCTGAAGATCTTCACTTACCGATAGTCGCTGGATTTAGATAAAGATTAAAATGTGGCCATATTCCCTAAATTTAGATTCTGTTCGGGTAACCATATTTTGGAAAATTGATGGACGATTAGGATCAAAATGTACCAAAATTTAGAAATGTAAAATTTACAAAAAAAATACGCTTTTTGCAGATTAAAAAAAACTCTAACAACTTCAACAACTTTTATAAAAACATTTTATTTTTTTGAAAAAAAATTAATCAAATCAAGGTAAATTTTTTCTAATAAACTTTCAGAACAGGTAAATTAAAATATTACCTTTCAGAACGATTTTTGTAAGGATTTTATTAAATTTAACATAAATCCTCACAAACATCTAATATATTTTCTCTCAGACAAATTGTAACATGACATATAATTTATGGTGTTACATATGTAAAAAATGTGCATTTTCAAATGCCGTTTAAAAAATTTTCGACGTCCTAACTTTTACAAAAATATTGAAAAAATTTTTTCTTTTTATATACTCGAAAAATTAGAGAAATATATTGAAAAATCGACCTACCTGAGCGATTTTTTGTTACTCTCTTTGTAAATATTTTATCAAATTTATACATTCAGGGACGTACTGTATATTCATTAATTTTCACTATTTCCCTGTATATTCATAAATTTCTTGCACTGTACACAATAGAACGCCCATTCCACTAAGGCTCAAATGAAGAAAACTGGAATGGGAATGTTCTGTTAGAAAATCAAAGATTTATAACAGTGAGGTTCTTTAAGAGACATTGATAAATGAGGTTTACTATGTACGCCCCAGATTTTGGCTTTTTTATACACATCATTCCAACGCGCAAAAGTATAGAAAAAGGTGTTTTATTTAAGCCGAATATCATCTGTAATGCAGAAAATTTTTTGTTTTGTTTTAATATATTAGTTTTAAGCAGAGTTTTTAAATTTATGTCATGTAAAATACCTATGTAGTTTCTCAGAATACGAAGTTCATAGTACATGAAGTTAATTGAGCTTGTATATTAGATTGACCACAAAAACCCACTTCTTTATTTACTTGACTGAAAGGTCATGACTAATTTTTTATGGGTACTTTTTTTTCGAATCAAATGTGGAACAAGTTGAAAATTTTATTTATTTCTTTATGTACCAATCTTTATTCAGAACAAATCAGAAAATATTTCCAAAATTAATCATTGCCTGATACTTTTAAAAAATTAAACATACCCATGAGTTATTTCTATAACTAGCCTACTGCTTTCACTTTATGTCCCTCATATGGAAACGAAACATTTTTTGAAAATATATTCAAATTGCACATAAGAAATAACTATTGTATATATTATAATTATTTTCATAATACACACATCAGCAAATTTCAAGGAACGGTATCTCCGTTCCTTTAAATTTACCAGTGTGTGTATTATTCGAGTTTTTTCCATTGAAATTTTTTTTTAATTTCAACGGAATCTCTTAAAAATGTAACTTGAACTAACTAATTGCAGCTTATTTTGCAAATATTTCTGTAATTTTGAGGCCTGTTAAAAAATAACAAAAAAATATTGTTTTTGCGACAGAAGAATAATTGTACATATTGACTGGTTTTAAACATCTAATGAATAAGAAAAATTTTACCCATTAGTTTTTCAATAACATGTGTTTTCTCCACGAGCTCTTATGACTGCACACATAAGGGCTAGCCTTCCTATACTTCTGATTACGCCGTCGAGCATTTCTTGAGGTAAACTCTCCCATCCTTCAATTAAAGCAGCTCTCATTTCTTCTGTGTTTTGGATAGCAGGATTGCTTGATCTAAGTTTTCTGCTTGGCATATTCCAGACATGTTCTATCGGATTCAGGTCCAGGAAACATGCTGGCCAATTCATGTTCATTATACCCACTTATTTTAAAAGTCAGTTACACTGTGAGCGAGTATTGTCTTGAATTAAGACGAAATTTTCAACCAAATGTGGAGTTAAAGGTACCACATGGTCTTGTAGAATATCCTTAATGTACCTTTCTGAACTTAAAGCGCCGCTATCAATTACCACCAACTCTGTGCATGCCTCTAAATGCATATGCTGCCCCACATCATAACTGAACCTCCACAAAAAGGTCCAGTAGTGGTCAAATTAAACTGTGCATTTTGTTCTCCTTGACGTAGATACATTCTTTTCCTACCGTCAATCGAATTTACGCAGAAACGGCTCTCGTCCATGAATAAAATTGACCACATTGATGATAATTCCAATTCTGTTGTTCTTGATGAAAGTATACGATACTCGATTACGCACATCTTTGATTTTTTTATTGGTGCATATAACTTCAAACCAACTTCTTTCAATTTTATTCTGACTGTACACGTATGCTGATCTCACACTTCTTCCAGTACGTTTCTTGTTTGAATTGCCGTTTGACATCTGATTCGGAGTGGTTACAACACTATAATCGATTCTCTGCCCATTCTTTTAAATTTGCCGGTGTGTGTATTAGACAAATTGTGTAAATCGGATTTTTGAAAATGTGTAATTCAGTCAAGTAAGAAATTACTGTATTTTAAAATAATGTAAGACAAGATATTAAACGAAACAGAAAAATGAAATAAGAAAAAGGCTAATTAACTTTCCAAACTTTTTTTTTTACAAATCGCTACAGTTCAAAGTTGGCTTAGTGAATTTAATTAAATTAAATAATTATGGTGTACCTTTATTGAATTTTAACTTTAACTTATATAATATTAGATTGTTGGAATCTATCATTACCCCAGTTAAGGAATATTTTACAAGTAATTTAAAGTTTGGAAGTTTTGAACTTAATTGTTTTAGTCATTATGCGACAACTGTTCCAACATTAGAATAATTAAAATGGAAAAGAAAATCATTTTAAAGTTATTGAACAATCTGCTAATGTATCAAGAATACATTAAAGTTGCTTAAATACGACTTGAATGAACTATACAATATACAATATATATGGTGTTTCCTAATTCATGTCAAAAATTTCGGCAAGTGATTGTTTGGACGATTTTCCTAGTTCCTATGAACTACGTGTGTGAAAACAACAGCCCAACTAGCAGCTAAGAGATATGCAAATAATCGAAAA